TTGGGTGCCGAGGAATGAATGGATTAACTCATTCCCTTTGATGATCAGCATTTACTTGCCCCCCAGCAGCCGCTGGAGGTATCAATGGATTAGCCCTGCCTTGGTTTAGGTTGCCTATTACTTCCTGCTGATCCCTTGCTGGTGGAATCGGCTGCACATGTGGACGTCGCACATTCTGATTATGTTGATCATTCATTGGTGGCTGGTACACCGGCATAGTATTTACTGCTGGCGGATCTGATAAAATTGGAGGATTCCCCATTCGCATGCTGAGTGTATGATTCGGCGTATTGCCGATGGTAATACCAAGTCCTGCACTTGGTGGTATGATGCTTGTTCGAGGCCCTTGGGAAATATGTATCAATGGTACCGTCATACGCCGATATACTGGTTTCAAGCCTCTGATTCATCTTCTCCATTTGAGCGTACATCATCTGATTTAATTCTCCAGTCATCGACCTCATCTCATATATCTGATAAACCAAAATTTGATTTGATTCACCCACCTGAGACCCTACTTCACCAATCTGTGCTTGCTGGGCATCAATTTTCTGCATAATTGATTCCAGTACCCGACCCAAAGGAAGATCGGATGGAATAGATGACTCGGCATCATCACCAACGCCGAGTTGCTGGTTCTCTTCGTCAGCATTGTCACCTATAGTCACACCTTTCGAATTTCTTAGCTTTGGAGGCATCTTTACTATAATTTGCTCACCTAATGGGTCCCACCGGGCGTGCCAAAAATGTTGACCCTAAAATCGGCTCCTAAGATCCGATTTGGAATTGAATGGAAAACGGGCGTGCCAGAACCAAATATATGGTTCGATTGTAAATTGTCAACTTGTAGTCTCTTTCAAGGGTTAACTTTCAGACGATGCGAGGATAAAGAGAACAGTGATACTCCTCTTAGAGTTCAAGAACTGCCTTAGTTAAAAGGACTTTTCAATGAATAAATTATAGTAAAGATTAAGAGAATAAAAAAGGGAGGAAAACAGATATAGCAAGAAAAGAAAGGGAAAGAATAAAGAAAGAATGAGGAGAGATACCGAGAGATTGAGATTGAGAGATAAAGATGAAGAAGAAATAGCAAGGATGCTATTCTTAGAAAGGCTTGAAAAAGCAAACAAATAATAATAAGGATTCTGAGGGTGCTGGACCTTTAGTACAGCATGCCTCTTTGTTTATTTATAGAAAATATTGTAAACAAATTCCTACCAATTAGCATTCTAATTACAATAAAACTCTCACTAACTACTAAATTCAAACTCAAATTGATATTCCTAGATAAAGATTAATTCCTAACTAAAATCTGGTAATTATATAAATCCTACCTAACATAAAGTGTCTCAAAAGATTTCAAAAATATTCCTATCTGTTCCTATTCAATCAATAAGCCCTTGCGTGTAGCTTTGCCCTGTGTAAAACCTGCCACATCACTATTCCTTTATCTGTAATCCTTTCATGCATGACACTGATAAGCCTTGTTTCAACTGATTTGTTGATCTGAATCCCTTCAGCCCAATCATGACCCAAATCCAGTGCTTTTAAAGCCATACTTCCAAGCCCGAACTAATCACTGTATCCTCAGCCCAATTTTTGTGCAACCCAAGTTCTTGAACATCATCATTTATCAGGCCCATATACTCTTGGCCCATAATACCATGTTAATGTTTATCAAGCCCAATTAGAGCCCAGATCCAAATTACCAAAATAGGTGTTGAGGTCATTCGGATTTATGGATCCATGATTGGGCCGAAGATGGGTCTACAACCCAAATGCTAAAATGGGTGTCAACAAAAAATGAGACCTCACGGACCTATCTCCCGAATCTTTGCCAACCCCGTTATGCCCCTAGAAGCAGTCCCATCCATCATTTTGCAATCTCGTTTCTTTTGTTTAATCATCATTTTGGTATACATGTTCTTTCCATTAATTCCAACCATTGTCATTGTTAATTGCATTTCATTTTGTATCCGCTAGTTTATTGAGTTTTCTTTTTTTTATATATATTTTTAAAAATAAAAAATTCACAAGGCTCGTAACTATTTGGTAAGTTCATCAGTCCATGGAATTGTAGCATTGCTTTTGATTTTTTAAATTGAGACAAACACCACCAGAACAAATAATGAAAAGCAATATTTATTTTTTTTTTAATTTTTTGGATTAGCAAGGAAAAATAATAAATTTGTCATCTCATGTTGGTATTATAATACCAAGATTAGTGACTTATAAATTTATATGTTTATTATGTATATTCGGGGTATGTACCTCTGAGTTATGGTTAAACTATACCCACTTTGTTTTTGAAGAATTGTGGCATTAATTAAGTAACACCCTTTTTCATGGATAATGAAATATTCATGTTCTTATATATGTCTAGCGGTTAGGTTCTTTGTGTTACTCATATTTAATAAAAAAAATTATGAATATTATTATTATTTTTCTCAATTCTCTATTTCTCTTGTCAACTATCATGTGTCCGGACAGTGTTTTATATTGAGTTTGGGACAACTTTAAAGATAAGACTAATACAATATTGTCTCACTTCAAACGTGTTTGAAGAAGACTATTGACAGATATGGATTGTATCATAGAGTCGTATTGGACCACTATCACATGTACGTAAGAAGACCATACGACTTTAGGATAGTACTGTTGCATGTCTCTCATTATCCACCAATTATTTCCTTTTAGTTTATTATTATTATTTTCTTAATTTTGTTATTGAATTAATATCTATTATTTTGTATTGTTTAAATTCTATGTTCATTATAGTATCTATTTTGTTCAACTCGATATATTATTTATTTCAATGAAAGCATTGGTGATTTTATATTGATGTAATATTTATTGGTGTATTATTCAATGTTCATTCTAATTGTTGTAGTACTCATGTTATTGAAAATTTTGTTAATTCACATTGTGTTATGAAATTTTTAATGGGATTATTATTGTAATATTTTTAAAAAATAATTAAATTATTTATTATATAATTTTTAAATGGGATTATTATTTCATATTTATTTACTGAATTATTATTTTTTATTATTTATAAAAATAAAATAAAAATTCGTTATTTCAATCATTAGTGTCCAATTCGTTATTTAAATCATTAGTGTGATTCTTAATTAAAAAAAATTTACACTTTCTCGATTATCCACCAGATCAGATGGGTATGCGTTTGAGAGAAAGAGACTGAAAAAAGATATGAGAAGAGCCAACAATTGACCACCCACAATTGGTAATTAATATTTTTAATTGTTCATATATTTTGATAAATGTTTGTAGGATTTTGATAAATAAAAATTATTTGTCCTTTCTAGCTGCTCCTACTTTTATACATATATAGCCTCTTTATTTCTAATTGACGGTTGAAATATTTTATAATCAAAATGATTAAGATTTAATGTCCAGAACTTTGCACCCAAGGGAGGAACTAGTAATAGGCTAACCTGGGCTATAACCAGATCCAATTGAAAAAAAAAAATTAGTACTATGGTTCCTATAAGCCTATATACTACTATTTCTCTTCTTATTAGCCCAGCCCAATCCATAGTATTTCTATAAATAAAAAGAGTTATAAAATTTACAAAGGTCATGGGGGGTTGATGATGACTTGATAATTTTTTATTAAATTGGGTAATTTATTATATAGTGGATTAATAACTAGTCAGGGCGGAGCACATAGGTCTTACTTTCTAATATGAATTTATTGATAAGGAACATATATATCTTACATTCTTGTAGTTGTTTATTTTAATACTTGTATGGAGTAAACTTCAATGGATTCTTAACTGTGAAAATATGTTAGAGTTTGGAAGTATAAATGTGTTAAAAGGTTGTAGATTATTGGGTTTAATTGAATAACCGATGCATGAGAATTATGTATTTAAAGCATGAATGACACACTAAGCAATCATGGGTTTAGTTATTTTTAGTCCTTCCTACTTTGCAATCCTGGCTCCGCCCCTGTTTGCACCTAAATATATAAATATTTTTAAATTCTCTAATCTTCTTCAATCTATCGATTTCTACTAACCCTTTAATATTCTAGCGATTTATACTAACGCTGCATACTTCACAGCCTTCTATATTATTGAAATGAATAGTATATATATATATATATATAAGGCATAAGAGAAGAAAAATAGTATGTGTGGGGTTGAATTTTTTATTTTTATAAAAACATTATATCTGAACAAATCCATGTTTGCATTTTATCAGTTTTATTTATTATGATGATATTTTTAACATTTCCTTTATTTAAACATATATATTTATATTTATATATATATCCTAGATTTACAACCACATTGCCTCGTCTACAAGAGAGAAGCTTCCAGTGAAAATCACTGTGAATCTTTGAGTACCTACTACATCGCGCACCTTTCATGCCTTCTCCTCCCTCTCACCTAGCGCAAAACCAATCTCAACGAACAGAAAAGCTTCAGTGGCTGTTGATCCTAATTATAACAAATATTTTGAGCTCATAAATAAAGCTTGGAATTCTCAATTAAATAATAATGTTTATATATAATAATACAAGTAATTCTAAATCGCAATTAATTTTTATTTAACTATTAATATCAATATTAAAAATATATATATTTATGAGCACAAAATAATTAAAAACAAAACAAAAAATAATAATAATTAAAAACAAAACAAAACAAAACAAAAAAAAAGTTATTGACATGCATATAGGCATATGGATACGGGTAGGTAAACATATAGACTATGAATGGATACATACACATACAGATCTAAAACTTGTAAAACTCTTTAATCTCTCAAGACATTTATATACACATATCTGCACCATCGCATATGAATGTGTAGGTCACAACAGAAACAGCACAAAAGACCTAGATAAGAAGGGTGTTATAGCACAACACCCCAGACTTTAACCAGTTATAATTTCTTAGGCTGCCAATAATGTCATCCACCAAGACAACTTAAAATAAAACTAAAGTAAGGTCAATATATTACAGGGGCTCTCACAGTAATGAAAGCGATAGATTTGCCTTGGTGCCTGAGAAAACAATACTAATACAATTGTTACTGTCACACAATTGATAAATAGCAAGAAGTTTGCTTCGAACTTGATACTACTTCATAAAACATAAAAATAATATAATATTTTTCTTTTAATACAAATTACAAAGAAAAGGAAATTAAAGGAAACAGCCACCCATCCCACTTGTAATCACCTTTCCTAGTGCTCCAAACCCATCTGCTAAGATAGATAGATAGATATATATACATTGATAATAAACTCATACACCAAACTTTTGTTCCTACTAGGACTTGAACTCTCGACCTTCTACTTTGGAAAGCAGAGGAGACACCACTATAGTCTACGACGACAAGCCACCAGATTACAGCAATGAAGGACCCAACTGTTTGTAGGAACCCACTTCCGGAGCCAACTACCAAGTACAATAGGCGCAGAAGGCTGAACTCGAGGCATTTTGAATCTTTGTTCATTGAACTTGAGTCCCAGAATTCATTTGACTCGAGAGCACCTGTCCAAAACAGCCATAAGGTCTCACTTTCTACCATTAAACAGCCATAAGGTCTCACTTTCTACCATTAAACTGCCATAAGCGACAACAAATAAAAGCACCCAAGCTGAAAAGACGTTCTGAGTTCAGCCTTACTCCAAATATCAAATAAATAAGACCATGCTTGTTGCCAGAGGACAAACATTCCAGCCCCAAAATAAAGTCTCAAGAGGACTACAATTCCACACCACACTAGCAACAAGAACAATCCTCGATACCCTCTGATTTAAATTAAACAGAATTGGTGATCTTTAATGGCAGCATTGCCCAACAAAGAAGATAACTATCCAGTAGGCTTTAATTCTCCAAATAATACTCCATCTGGAACTAAATTCCCGGCTATGGCTGCATCTGCACTCTTCTGTAATCTGTTTGTCCCCCTTAACAAGTCGTAAAAAAACTTTATCTGCAGTCTTAACAGAAAATCAGTTCCACCCATCTCTCCAAGAGGGTTCTCAAGATTAATCGGCATCTCTCTTGTTAAAAGAGGGGTTCTCAAGATTAAATCAGTATCTCTCTTGTTAAAAGAGCTTTCAACCAGATCATAGCCGAAAAGAAACTAAGAAAAATGATTCCAAACATAGCATTTTCCAATGTTACCCACCAACATCATTATTAAAGGATTCCCTTATCTCAAATACCAACATCACTATTAAAGGATTCCCTTATCTCAAATTTCTTGCAAATAACGACTAACAAATTGTCTAATGATCTGTTAACCATCATATCTGCCACTAATATCAGACATTAGAGATACAGATGACCACACAAATACTAAACTTATAACAACTCAACTTGTGCCTTAAAAGCTTCACATAATTATGTCCAATACATGCTTTTTCCTTCATCGATTCACAATGGCCTCCATAGCCAATTTTATTGTTGTCTTATTGTCTGTACTAAAGGATGTGTATGGTATTTATGTACCATACATGCTTTCCTTCAACGACTTCAAAACAGCTTTGTAAGCCAGTTTTTTTGCCATCTTCTTGTCTGCTGCAGTGCATGAACGCTTGTGTGAGATACCATTTGCTTCAACCTCAACGGTGAAGAAAGCGACACCATTTTCACTAGACAATACAGTCTTTTTCTTATTATAATGTTTCTTTTGGCAAAGATCATTCAGCTCCCTTACTGGATGTAGAGTTAATGTCTCTGGTGTAACTAGGGGTTCCAGAAGAGGTCTTATGCTCTGAAAGACGGTCTCCTTGTTGTATCCAGAATCAATCAGAATTGCCCCAGCTAGAGATTCTATTATATCCCCCAGTACCTGAATCAATTCCAGGATTAAAAGAAAGAAAAAAATGTTCAAACCAAAACGTGGCAGCTTAAGAAAATTGATGGATCATCAAACTTCAGTCGAAACAAAGTAGTGAAATTATGCCTGAAAGTAGAAATGTAGTGCAAATTTGACTAAGGAATGCATACCGAAGCATTTAAAAATTTCTTTCACTGTCGTCGACTAGCTTATCATTCATCAAAGTTAAACAACTATTGACAAGGTAAACTGCAAAAATTAACCAAATAAAAACATATTGGGTTTCACATTGGTTTCTTTTCCCACATCAATTTTATTTTTTTGCCATACTCATGAAAGTAGTTACTTAAACTACAAATATTAGCTAAAAGATCATGTATAAAAGAAATCTCGAAATATGTTTGAGGAGGTTTTCCACCATCCAGCTTACCAGTATTTCAAGATCACATCTATAATCCGAGATGCAAATGCACAAAGAGGAGAAGAGAAGTTATGTTAACTAAAAATTGAGTTCGCTGTACATTCTAAAAATAAATAAATAAATGTTAGATGGATGTAAGAGATAGTTTATGCAGAATAACAAATAACGTAATTTAGCAGAGAGAGATTAATCCGTCTGAAGAAAGATTCAAGTCTATTTGAGAATTAGAATATTATAGAGTAGGGATCTTCTGAATGTTACTCATTTAATAATATGGAAATGTAAGTGGGTGAAGAAATAAGTGCACCTCATTCTCTTCAACCCTTCTTCACATTCTCCCTCTCTCTGCGTCCATCTTTTCTATTTCAACCTTAGTTTCATCGAGTATATCTCGTTTTCTGCAACCCACCCTTGCACACTATCTCCCTCTACCTCCCTCTCTCTCTATCCATATATAAATCTCAATCCTACTTTCACATCTCTCACATTACAACTTCTACATTTCATAGAAACTTAAATAGAAGCCACAGAGAGAGAAGAGATTGCATGCAGGTCATTCAAACTAAAATGCAATATACCTTAAATGGAAGTCTTAACTCGTTTTCCTCTGACCTGATATTAATCAATATCAAATCCAGACATGTTAATGGAGGAAACAAGCAATAGATAAAAAAACATTCTGCCAAGAATTTAAATTTCAAGAAGAAAAAAGGAAAGGACGACATCCTTTTTAGTAGAGACAGACCCAGGAAATTTTGTGTGTGTGTGTGGGTGGGTGTGGGTGGGTGGGTATGTGTGTGTGGGGGGGGGGGGGGGGGGGGGGGGACCGGGTGTTTATGAAAAGAAAGCTGCTCGCGAATAAGGCCAGATCTTTAAAGCGCGGAGTTCACCTTTCTCACTATAAGAGAGGATTCCACTATAGATATGGCGGGCAGCCTCCCACAGATCCAGAAGCCATATTGGCGGAGCAGAAATCCAATTCATAGGTATATAATTCAAAAAAGGAAAAATCAATTGTATTAATACTAAAATATATATATATACATATATTCAGTGGGGGAAATTGCCCCCACTGAATATACACTAGGTCCATGCCTGCTTTTTAGAATACAAATCTAATTGGTTTCAATATTATGTTTTTTGTGGATGCCACTCAGCAGGTGCTCTGTCAATGTTTTAGTAGCAAGACAATGAGCTAGGAAAAAAACTGTACATTGAAGTACCTTTTAGAAAAGGAAAAAACTGAAAAAACATAAAAACCAAAAAAAATAAAATAAAACAACAGAAATCAAAAGCAACTCCGATTTCAAAGGGCACATACATGTGCCATGATTTTGTGGTGGCCACTTTATATACTTGGACAAATCAAAAGCTGCTTTTGATTTTGATAGTTCATTTTAGTTTTGGACCACTCATAGTTGGTGCACAACATGGTAGATGATAAGGTCTCATATGCAGCCCCATGGGTTTGTTGATGATTCTAGCTGTACAACTCAACTGTGGCCCTTTTGACTGCATTCTTATGCTAATAATTTAAAAATCATATTAATAATCCAATTAAGACAGTTCCTTGTTAAATGCTGCAACAAAGGCAAAGAAGAATATTGCAGCGCAAAGGAGTTAATATTTGACAAGGAAAGCAGTTAATATGGAAGACTAACCTTGGGGAAAGTTGTCTCCGATTGCCATCCAAAAGTTGATTCCAAGGACAGCTGCTCAAAACTGGTCACAGTGCTTTTAATATGCCCATGAAGCTCTTGCGAGGCATGCAGAATGTGTTTGTGCAATCCAGCCTTAACTGCAGAATGGGCATAACAGTCATTGTTCACAGAAGCTGACCTTAGGTCAGTTAACAGCCCAGGTGATAGTCCAGGATATTTATGGCACAGGTGCATTGTTATGAGATAATCTAACACCGCGTCCCCAAGAAATTCTAACCGCTGCGCCACCAACAAAATAAGCATTATCCTCTCAGCAGAAATAGATCTATATAATTAGTTTTAAAGCTGTATATATGAGTCAACTTTAAAATGGGTATATGTGTATCTTCAGTGTCATGGAAAAATCAGAATGTATTGAACATGCCATCCTAGTAGTTTGATGAAAAAGTAAAAACTATTTATTTTTAGTGCTGTTTGCAAGATCAATCTTGGCAACACAACTTTAATACTTGACAAAAAATCACTGAGTTCTAACTTCTATGAAACAGATCCTCAATGTGGACCTTCCAATACCACAAGGAAGCAAGCTGGAATTCATATACCATTGCAAATAAAAACTCAACTTTTCATTAACCATACAAAAGATATTTAAGATCATTGCAAAAATAAAATTCAAGCCATTTTTCAAGAGAGGATACGATGAAATGAGAGACTAATTCTAGCTGATATCATTATAATGCTTTATCTTCAACATTAGTACAGAGTGATTAATGAGGGTAATTAATATCAAAATCCTGAAAGTTAATGTAAAGGCCTGAAGACAACTTCCCCCAACAGCAACACTACTGAAATTCATCTGAAAAATGCAAATATGAATATTACCTGATAGCATCTAGGAATCTCAGGTAGCATGTAAGAACCATGGGTTAATGCTTCTACTAGCAAAGACGGGTCTCGAAATGAATAGTTCAACAAGGATTCTACATATCTGATATTAACAAGCTTCTCTGGTTGCACTGGGAAGTCCCTCCCATATGGTATATTGGCAAAATCCGCCTTTATACCAAGCCAATCCATTAATGATAGAGCTGCTAGTTCACCTCCTGTAATGAGGTATGCACCAATTAATGCCTCCACAACATCAGCAACTGTCTTACTCTTCACCTTTCTTATTCCCCTATTGTAGACTTTTCTCTTAGTAGAAACCGATTCTTCGTCCAATGTGTAATCTCCGGATCGATCGCCAGGAACGATCCACATTTTAGGATCAAAAGGCTCAGTACGAATAAAGCCCTACAAGTTGAAAAGAATAATAAAATTTTTGAATCTTGCTTACAAGTCCCTGAAAATATATGAGATAAACATGATCTAGCAATACAAATAATTTTTTTATGCAAGCAAGAAATTTTAGAGAAATTTTATTTTTTTTATGGCTATGATTCCACTATCCAATCTAGAGCTAGTATAGTATGTAGAATTAATTGAGCCCCAAAACATATCAAGTTGGGGACAAACTTCATAAGATAAATGAATTTACAATGCCAAGGGCCCTTGATCAACATTTTCTTAACTCTAGAGCGCTGATACTTCAATTTGGGAGTAATAGACCCAAAGTTGATATTAGCATCACACGTACTCCTATCCCTGCCCTCCCAATTCTCCTTTTTTTTAAAGATTAGTTTCTTCAAGTAGACCCAAAAAATAAGTCTTTCACCCAAACTTACAACTATAACACTCAGAAAAGTCAAATTGGATCATCCTATATCATTTGTGAACCATGAGGTCCACAAATATGAGGATACTCCCTTCATCCCATATTAGTTGTCCCTCTTTGGTATTATAACTCTTTAAGTGTACAATCAATTAATGCATTGTCCCCTTTTAAATTACCATGTTGTCCTTTTCAATTTAAATATGCATATTATCAAGTTCGGAAATTTTTGAAACCTTAAAGGGTAATTAAGGGAAAATAGCAATTTTTAACCTTAACTTGTCAAATGGGACAACTAATTTGGGACATCCCAAAAAAGAAAGAGGGACAAATAGTATGGGACAGATGGAGTAATCCATACGATAGTAAGTAGTATTTAAATGGAACTAAATGTTTAACATTCCAAATTACAAACAAAAGAACTAGGGAAAAAAAAAATTACAAACAGAAGGTATGTTAATATTCAGTATGCAATATTTTCCATTACTCGCCAACAATAGAATACAACAATCATAAACATGACAGCAGTTACAAGTCCTACATTTAACACTTCCATGTGTAGAGCTTTACACACTGACAAATAAACATTATTAAACAACTCCATGCAATCAATTTTCCAGTGAAAATAGAAGCTTCTGAAGCTTCTCTTCTTCCTAGGTTGGTTAAAATACAATACTAGGGGGAAGAAGATATCTACGCAGTTTACCAGTGTGAAATACGTATACAAGGATAAGTTAAATGGAAGTCAGCATGCTAACAACTAACTTTATATTTGACCTATAAAAAATGAGTCAGATAGTCCCAAAAATAAAATTAGTCCATTTAAAGAGGGATATTAAGCATGAAGGGTTAAGAATGCAAATGCATCCTTATATCAAGCATAAAGGATCAAGTACACAAATTCAAGATGATGACCACGATCAAACATTAAAGTAATATGACAAGTAAAAGATTACCGGAAGTTTGCAGTCACATCCTAGCTTGCAAAGCGCAGCATTAGAAATTATTTTCTCTTTTTTGATACTAAGAAGGCCCTCGTGGTGATTTTGATTGGTTTTGAATAATTGCTGACTGGCAGCATATTTGAGGAAAGAGTCCCCAATGGTCTCCAGTGATTCCAAATGAAATTTCTCTTGACATTTCTTTGTAGTAATTGCTTCCAAGACCTACCATAGATGGATTGGTTAGCACAAGTTCAAAGTGAAAATTGGAACATACACTTCAACTACATGATATACACTTCGCAAATTCAGAGTCAGAAAAATAACGTATCTAAAGTGAAAAAAATGGCTACAGCAGAATTGCAAAACTGAAACTACAAAGACATACTAAAGAGGTTAGTAATATAAACATGTTACAATTGGCATGATTTTATTATTAGGCAAGAATTGGTTATACTATCTACAGATCCATGCTTTGCCAAATGTAGCATGTTAAAAAGCTAACAAAATACACCCAAATGTGACCTTAATTATTTAATACAATATGTAAACTATGGTACATCAGGTATCCAAATTTTAATTAACTACCTGATCAAATAACAGTATCAAACCACTGGGAAACAAAAAAAAAAAAAAATTCCAGCATTGTCGGTGAAATGCAGCTAGGGACAATGTCATAATCAAACAAATGGACAGTGTAAATGGTATTTGACTTTTAACTTTAGTTTACACTTTTAGGACACAATGGTTTGCAGCTGTAAAGAAATTACACCCTCAAACATTAAAACAACATTGTTTTTGACACTTTCTGACCGAAAAAATTATAGATGAACTTCATTTTTAATAACACAAGTCAGATACCAATCACTATAAAATGGGCACTCGACATAGTTAATAAAGTAGCAGAAGAGAATGTGGTTATTATTAAATGTTGATATTTTCAGGAAGAACTAATGCTTTTATCTTTTTTGTTAGCTAAGCATGGATTTTTTGTCATAACACCCAATAAATCCACAAAGTTAGCTAAGCATGGATTTTTGTCAGAACACCCAATAAATCCACAAAATAACAAATGTTCAACCAGTATTTATGAGGTATAATGAAATTCTTTAAAGGATATAGAAATTAGACAATTAAAAATAATTCTTTATTTGATTTAGCTACTGAAAATTTGCAGTAAAAATATTTAAAAAAGAATTGTCATGTATTTTATAAAGAACGTTGGTGTTGCAACTATTCATACATAAAATGCTATTATATGCATTTATCTATCTGAAAATTCTATTTGCAACACGGGAGAAATAATATGTGGAAAAAAAAACCTGAATTCTCTTGAAAGGAGGTATTTGGCCAAAAACTCAGCATGACGGCTTAATTTATTTCTTTTTATTATGAATTTCATTTTTTATATTGCTAATAATTACTACTTTCAACAGATACAAATTTTGAGTTACTATGTAATCACTCTAAAATATGTAAGTACAAAATTAAAGAGTACAAAAACAATGAATAAGTTCCTCAAGTGCCTTTCTTTCATTATATTGACACCTGACAACAATATTTCACCTCTGCTTCTAAATGGTTTTATTCATTCTATTCATCAATGACTTCCAAAAACCTTTGCAGCCATATAGAATCCATATCAACTTGCATCCACACAATGTATACAAGTATTGACAGAATACAGAGTAATCATACGTGCTTGTATAATTTACACAAAAGTGACATATATGGAATGAAATGACAAAAAGAAAGAAAACTTAGCTGGGAATGTACATTTCAACCAGATATTGTTTATTGAAAAAAATTAGTAGGAAACGATTCAAGAGCACAAGTTGACCTCATCATTTTAACACAAGCATTATAATTTCTGGCATGGTGAGATAAGCAAGTAAGATACCTTGAAGGTTGGAATAACAACATTTTGCATGCAGTGATCCGCGTGCATCTTTTTCAAGTTCACAGCAATAAGCAACGACTCGATCCGGTGCATGATAGATGGAACAAATGAGAAAGAATAAATTGTAGAGATTGATATAGGAGACATGATAACAGAACAAAGTTCAGGAGGCACTTCAACGGATGCATTGCTTGGTTCTACAAAGAACAAAAAAATAAATCAAGCACAAAATTTGCCATTGGTAAACCAGTATAACAGTGAAAAAACTTAACATGCACATAAAATCTTACGAAAAAGCAAAAATCTAACATCATGTTGCAAATAGTCCCCAAGGCAAAAAAATCCCCTATTAGAAGTTCGCAAATCAGCCATGGTGTTAAATCTACCATTAATGAATACATGAAATTATTCAAATGACCAGATGATACCCTATTGTCAAACATTGTTGTCCGCTAAACTGTTTAGATTCACTCAATTAAATGAGCCATAGAATGTCCTTTTGAACGATGATCCACTCCACTACTTTCTCACCCTTCCGAACCATTTCTACTTCCTTTCAAACCCCACGACACATATATACGTATATGTGTATATATATAGCACCAATTTGTTTGGATTCATAACGTGAATTTTTCTAAAACCTTTGTCTTCTATTACACATTCTTCACAAACCCTGTCTGCCCAACTAATCTGTGTAGTCATCTTCTCTCTATGACTTGCGAGAGAGAAGGGCAGCTTCAAATCACCACTGCAACACCACACCAAAGCCATTTGTAAACCATTTTACATGTTCATTTCACTATAATTTCCTGCTCCAAATTCTGTAGCCAATTGTCACTTGCTTTGACGAGAACTGTTTGTTAAAATTTAATCCCAATACCATCAATATTTCAACACCAATTTAATGTTTGTTAGCAGTTTCAGATTGACAACAACTCCATTCTGATGAGTATGGGCATAAGATTCCTAACTCAGAAAAATGCCGTTACATGTATTTGCAAGTAAACTAACGCAATGAAAATCCAAGAGATAAGGTTCAGCATTAGAGGGTAAAGGATGGGTTAGAGAGAGAAAATGGAAATGTGGTTTTAGGGTGAGTTGCAGAAAGGTTATTCAACCAGGCTTACCCTTATAAATTTAAGGCCAGAATTTAAATAAAGGGACCAGTCTTAAAACTAGCACGATCAAATTTAGCATTGCGGCCTTTTTACATCCTTTTTTTTATATCAAACATGACACAAAAAAAAGTGTGTGTGTGTGTGTGTGTGTGTGTGTGTGTCCATGTGTGCATAAACAAGAAATGGATGGAAACCAGATAAAATTACAAAGAAGCGAACAATCTATCCAACCTTTCTCCTTCTGCTGTCTACATCTCTGAAGGCAATTTTGCACTGGAAAAATATGTCTCCCATTAAGCAGCGATTCACTTTCAAAACACAAGTCAATTCCATGCCTGTAAATAGCATTACAGTAACACTATCATTTTAATTTTCATACCATAAATTAAAAAACTCTATTCCATACAATAGTTTATGGAAGTATAACAAATAAATTCTGCATACCGTGATTTATAGTATTTCTTGTAAGGAATAGCTTGTCCATTCTTTAGCCTCAGAAGTGAGTTCCCATCCAAATTATTTAATGTGCCAGTGATACAGTAAACATTACCATTGTGAGGAGTGCATACAACAGAATTCTCTAGCATGCAGCTGCAGACAGAACCATGCTTTGTCTTCACCAGATGAGTATAACCCTTGGGAAGAGAACAATTTGTGTGTTTCTTATCTAGAGGTAGGCGTGGAAATCGCACAGAACTAATACATTTCCAATCAATGAATGGAGGATTCTGATGTGAGCCAGTAGATGGGAGTAGCAGATAGTCATGTACTGGAAAATCATTCTTCAAATGAAATGCATCTATCACCCCTCTCAATTTATTGAAATTATGATCAAGAAGAGCTCTGAAAATAGTAACTTGAAACCACTGACATAAAAGAACCTGGAAGATATAACTTAATGGTCAATAGAAACCAAACCTATATTTTCTATTTCAATTAATTATTCCACAATACAACAATAAAGGTAACTAAGCATATAAAATAAGATACATTACCTTTCCAGCATCAAGCTTAACTACTCCAACATATTTCATGTTCACTGTCAAACTACCCCGATCAACTTCCAAGTCAATAGTCATATTATCATCATCTAACTCAAGTTTAGTCCTCAAAGCAAACACAATATCATGAAGCGGGATATCATAATCAAAGTGTCGGCTTAGCTGAATCAAATAGCAATGATACACGTTCATAGAATCATTCACACAATGACTAACCAATTCGGGTGGGAAGTATTTTGGTTGATCGTTAGAATATATTTCATTCCCTATACACCAATATATCATAAATTAGAAAAGAAAAATATCGGCATCAATAGATACAAAGATATATAAAAGATTCATAAAGAGAAAAGTAAATGACAATTTTTAAACAAACCACGACAATCAAGAAAAAATTAAATACCCAATTCTTGAGAAATAGCTTCTTCCACAACAATATCCGGAACAAGATTATCGGTCAGCGCACCACTCTGATGAAGCTGCTTGCATGCTTCTAGACATGCAAGTTGCTTCAACATTTTGATGTTGCCTTTAACACAAACATTTTGTATCGGGCAGCTTTTGGGAAGATATAAGGTACATGTTTCCAACTCCTCATCAATATTGAAACGAGGAGAGGGTTTAAAATACCTATAATACAAACATGTCATTTCTCATATATGCATTTAGATAAGACTAACAGTAAGAAGAAACAACGAAGAAATTTAATAACATGAAAAATGAAGCTTGTTAAGAACAAACCCATCAGAAGGTAGTCGCGAGCAGTAGAAATGTATCAGACCCACGCTAGAACACAGAGTCACAAATGCGTCTGTACTTTCAACACGATAAGAGATTTCATTAAACAATTCACAATCAAGAGGTGCACAAGGAACGGATGCATGGCTCAAGGACTCCTTCCTCATGATGTCTCCACTAGCAAGATAGTTCTGTACTCGGGTGAGTGTAGAAGCATCACCACTAAGATATTGACAAAAAAATAAATATGTCAGTACCACTACCAACAGTAAACTCTTTCCTACTCAAATGACCATTGTTACTGGTATGAAATAAATAAAATAGAGGTGTTTTATTCTGCATAGTTCTTTTATTAGTCATTTAGCAAAATTTTATTTTTCTCTTTCGTTTTTGATAGATAAGACAACATTCACACATCCACTGTTGTCTCCAAATAGGGACTTGAATCCTCAACCTCCCATGTGGGGAGGAGATGATACCACTTCGGCAAGGCCCTTGTACCGTTTGATGAAACTTGAATATTTGCAACTCATAAGGAGGCTCAGAAAATAAAATTTGAACTTTTATACAAAGAGTGTTAGTATAAATAAACCAATGTGTGTAAGCATTTACAAGAATGTCACGGAAAATTTTAAACCTGGGTCATCTAAAAGTCCCACTATGTCTTCAATGGGCCAAGGATGAAGTAGAACATACCTCCTGACCATAAGCAAAAAATCAGAGTTCTGCATTCGAGCACGACCACGGGACTGAATAAAACTACAAACAGTAGCTGAGGGATCAAATCTAATAACAAGGTTGCAACTTTGAACATCCAAGCCTTCTTCAAGAATTGAGGTTGCAACAATGATGTTTACCTGCAAGCATGTTAAGCCGACAAGCAGACAATTCAATTAGTAAAAGAGAACATATCATGAATATTAGGAAGAAACTGAGGGGGAAAACACGAAAAAGAAAAACCTACCATTCCCTTGCGGAATTGTTCAACAATTTCATTTTGCTTTTTCCTACTTTGTGACTGCAACCCAGACTGATTCCCAGCTGTGTACTCCGTTTTCCATCCACTTAATTTTGGAAGCAACTCAGTCAATAAAGCTTGAAGAGCGATTGCTGTAATGACCCTTTCTACAAAAATTATACATCTCAAATCCTTCATATCCCTGCATGGAATAACATACAACATATCAATCCACATTAAATCTAAACAATGATCCAAAATATTGTAATGCAACGTAAGTCTATTCTCTTTTGTTCTTTTTGCTCCTCATGTTGGAAGCTGTATTGTGTTTATTGGAAACATAATACAATTCAGAGAAAAAAAATTAAGAGTATAATACAATTAGATATATATAGCAAAGAGAAGTTCAATGGAGCAGGATCTGCCGACCTGTATTCAATAAGAGATTCAATAAGACAGTTAACTTTGGAAGTTAGATACCCAGCATCCATATTAAATTTTATGTTTCCACCAATACTCCACTCAGGACCTACAGTGAAACAAGAAAAAAGTCAAAGAAGAATAACCAAGTAAAAGGGAACAAAGAAATTACGATAAATAGAACGATTGTCCCAGAAAGTTGGGGAGAGAGAGTACCAGATGGTAAGCAACAGGATAAAAACTTAGACACATCCAAGACGAAATCTCTCACAGTTGTCTCACCACAAACATCCAGTTTCCCCCATAAAAAGGTGTCAGTTTCTTCACATGACAAGGATTCAGCAGCCTGTCACAGAAACCAAGTTTGTTGTGTATATCGTACTGTTACCAATATCAAAACAAAGAAACAAAAAGTTGGAGATAATATATACCTTTAAAGCTAACCAAACACCCAGCTCATCCAAGCAGAACAAAAAGGTAGAAAATAGCTTAGATAATTTTTTCTTTGCAGATTCTGCTGCAGAGCTTGTGAGCTTTGATCTTCTGACAGAGAATTCATGCTGGGAAAAAAAACAAAAAAACAAAACAAAGAAAAAACAGAAATAAATTTAGGGTTAAAACATTTAAAAAGATAAAGAAATATATTGTTGAAAACCAAAAGAAAGGCAAACGGTAGCTCAAAGTTTTATTGATGGCCAACAAACATAGTAGTTTACAACAACCACACAGCCTTCTCCCAATTATTTGGGGTCGGCTACATGAATCCCATGTTTCCATTCCGCTCTATTAAAGGCCATAGCCTCACAATCAATCCACATGCTATCATATCTTTCTTTACTAACTCTACCCACATTAACTTTGGCCTTCCTCTTCCCCTAATATTACCCTCAATGTTGACCATGTCACTTTTCCTAACCAACACACTTAAAAGGTCTTCTTACACATGCCCAGATCATCTTACCCTGTTTTCTCTCATTTTATCTCCAATTGGTGCTACTCCAACCATCTCCTGAACATGATCATTTCTAATTCTATCCTTTCTAGTCTTACCACACATTCATCTCAACATTCGCATTTCTGCCACACTCACTTTATGCAAATGTTGTTTCCTAGCTACCCAACATTCAGTACCATAAAGTTTGGCTAGTCTAATAGCTGTTCTATACAACTACCCTTTCAATCATAAGAAGATAGATACGCCTATCACACAATATACTAGATGCACTCCTCCAATTAACCCGTCCTGACTTGATTCTATGATTAACGTCAACTCCAATTTCTCCCTCATTATGAATAATTGAGCCTAAATAATGAAAATGTTCATTTTCAGGAATCTCATGATTCTAGATTCTCAATCCTCACTACATACTCATTTATTTTCTAGATTTACTAAAGTTACACTCCATATATTAAGTTTTACTTCAACTTATCTGAAACGCTTTTAGTTCTAAAGCTTCTCTCCAAACCTCCAATTTGGCATTAACTCCTCCTCTAGTCTCGTCAACTAAAACAAGATCATTGGCAAATAACATACACCAGGGAATCTCATCTTGATGTGTCTTGTCAGCTCATCATCCATAACCAAGGCAAAAAGGTATGGATTTAATGTTGATCGTTGGTGTAAGCCTACAGTAATTGGAAATTCACTTGTTTCCCCTACAGATGTTTTAATTATAGTCACACAGCCATCATACATGTCCTTTATGGTGTCCATGTTTCACTTTGTGACTCCTTTCTTTTCTAAAACCCTCCATATTAGGTCTTAGGTACCCTATCATAGGCTTTCTCCAAATCAATAAAAATCATACAGTTACATAGCTCAGCTAAGGAAAACACTATTTTACATTCGGGATTGGATTAGAACTTACAAGAATCTTGTAGTCCATCCTCCAACAACCTAGACAAACATTTATGTTAAACACATGCTATCAGGATTCTTATTGTTACTTCACATTAGGGGGCAATTTATACCCAACCCCATTAAACCGCCCAAACCCGCCCACTAAAATTAAATCATTTGGGTACCCAAAATTAAGTGAGTGGGTTAATAATGGGTAAAAAGTGAGTACCCATACAATTCAAAGGTCAATGGTGAGTTAAGAGTGGGTACCCATCTTAACCCGCTCAAACAGAACTCTTTTTTTTTTTTCTTTTTTTCAGTGATAACTATTCAACTTCCTTATATAAAAAATAAAAATAAAAAAAAAAAAAGACACAGACACGACAAAAATACGATAATATAATAATAATATAATTTTATTATGTATATAAATATAATTCATAACCCTATTTAAAATCATTTTAGATTTTACTTGGTTGCCAGGAAAGTGGAGAAATAATTTGTTGAAGTTTGATATTTTCTGTTGTTTAATTCATGTGAACATGAAATAAAGAAACTTAGATGTGCTCTACTAAAATCTTAAACATAACTTAATTGATATTTTCAGTTTCTTTTGTGAAATAGGAAAATTACTGAAGCTCTAAATTTTCTTTTATTTTTCTGTGGTCTCGCAGCAGCCACTGAAGCAATAATCATTCTTTTTTTCAGTCCATTCTGCAAAATGGAAAAATTAAATAAAATGTTTATTCATACAAAAAAAATCTTCAAAGTTAAATCTGTGAACTAAATTAAAAACTTCAAAGTTATAAATCTGTAAACTTCAAAGTTATAATAAGCCTTCTACCACCATGTCCATCATCCTCCAACTACATAATACACACACATATATATAAATACAAAATACTGACCCGTTTCTGACCCGCCCACTTAAGCCCTTACCCATTTTATGACCCGCCATTGGCGGGTTGGGAATGAGTTACCGACCCATTAAAAACCCAGCCAAAAAAAACTCGCCCAAACCCACCCAATTGCCACCCCTAAGATATATAACCAGATTGGACTTATATATAGAGAATGGATATATAAATAATGCATATACACATATATATAACTCGTGCTCAAAACTTTTTTTTTCTAAATATCTATATATATATAATTAATATTGTTGATTAAATTGTATAGTGACTTTTCCCAAAAGAAAAAAAAAATTGTAATGCTTGAAATCAAAAAATTAATATAAGAACAAATTTTATTTTTTTTTTTGGCCGTGGATTGTAGGAAAGTAAAAAATTTGCAAAAGTGAAACAAAAAAATGTGTTGGAACGGGTTAACCCGTTATGACCCGCTCATTTGAACCCTTAACAATTTATGACCCACTATTGGTGGGTTGACAGTGGGTTACTGACCCATTCATACCCAACCCATTCATAACCCGCCCAAACCCCCACCCAATTGCCACCCCTACTTCACATCTCCTTCACCCTTTTGTTTGCTACACCTTGAAATCCAAATGAGATTGCAAACTCAAGAACTATATTCAATCTTTACTATTAGTGGACAAGGAGAAAAATAACAAGGAAAAAAAATTTATCAGAGAAGAAAGTACATATCAGTCAAACAGCTACAAGGCTTTCCTACCGCTAGGCCATTACCCAACCAGTATAAACTCTCCTTCCCCCCCACCCCCCACCAAAGGGAAGGTGGGGGGGGTTCAAGCCCCATAGCAGGCATTTGTGTAACCACCCAGGGGAGGGGGGGCTTTCCTGCTTATATGATTTTATAAATGAAAAGTTGAAGAAAAACTAGATACAGGTGTAAAGAGCAACAAGACAAAATGATACAATGAAGAACATAAACAGATCGGCATTAAAAAGATGTGTACCTTTTCTTTTAGACTCTTCAAATAATTTGCCAAACGTTCAAATAGCTCATAAGGGATATCCTCGTGCTTGTAGAACTTCAACTTCGGCTTTGAAAAGGGAACGTACTTTGCCAGAACAGAATCACTCACACAGGTGTACACCTTTATCCCAAAAGAGCAAAAACAAATGTCACAATGATCATCTATCATCATGCAAAAAGGATCCAACTTCAAACAACAAATGAACTGGAAGATATCAAATAACATGTTGTGAGATGAAAACTACAAAGCAAAGGAGAGAAGTGTTTTATCAATAAATCATTTATTTTATTTGTAATCCAGTTCAATGTGCTCCTAGAATACTAACTTTACATAATTTATGCCCAACAAACAAGTAGAAAAAGCATAATCAACTACCAAAAACAATGTTGAAATAGAAATTTTTCTTTTTTCCCTAGGTCCCCCCCCCCCCTCCCCCGCGCTGCGCCACGGGGGGGGGAAATTGTTTGCACCCAAGAGAAGTCAAACCTACCTGATGCTTCCCAAGGCATCAGGGCCAAGTGACTTACCCACTTGAGCCAACCCCATGGGTTGAAATATTGAAATAGCAAGTCCATTACTTATTTTCATTTTACCAAACTCGTCTTTAGAGAGAAAAAAATTTTATATATTTTTGAGTATCACTGCAGAATATTTCAACAAACAACTTCTATTCAGCAGAATTTCCTCCATGTAGGTGTTATTGACCAAAGAATTATATTTTATGAATGCTTTGTTTAACAAAAATGCTTTTGATCAACTCAATTCAAGTGTCATCAATATCAGTGGTTACCCATTAATGTTTATTGAGAAGGAGGGGTAGATTTAGCACCTGTTTGGTTCAATTGTCTAGAAAAAAGGGGGGAAAATCATGGCAGTTCTCTGAGTTCAAGCCTTTTTCAAGTTCGTTTTCTTATAACAGGTTTTAAGAAAAATGTCAACTAAAAAGACAATTGAAATATTTTTTGTCTTCCAATTCTTTTAGAACAGAAAACTGATATGAGCAAACCCTTATTTTCCAAGAACTTCAATTTATTACCAAAAGGTTTTTAGTTGGTGTCTACACGCGTGTCTCTATAATGGTTCGAAGAGGTGGAAGTGGCCGCCAACACGGACGCAAAGCTGTATAGGGTGTAAGCTAAGGGAATTGTTTAAGTATATTACTTAGCGTATAATTGGCCTACATCAGATGTGAAGAGGGGAAAAAAGGAAATTAACCAAACATTTTGGCATTATGCTTAAAAGAATTAAACAGAAGACCAGAATTTCATGTAGTCTAATTTCAAAATATATCCTTTAAACAAAACAGAAAGTACATTTGGAACTATATATTCAGGAGACTGTGGAAGAAATTCCAGCAGATACCAGAAAATAATAGATATACAAACCCATCAAAAACTTCACAGTACTAATGTTAAAATGCACTCGCAATCAATCAAAACAAAGAGGCTGAATTCAAAATATTAGCTTTAGATTCCGCCCTAAAAAAGATAGTAACATAGAAAACCAAAGATGGTAACATAGAAAACCATACTAACGCATGGACTGGTGAAAAGCATCAATAATAAATCAAAACTGATGTAGACCTAATATGCAACATGAAAACACACACATGAGGATACACAGAACACACCATATTACACAACGTACACACACACACAAAACTATTAGAACAAATAAATCAAATCATTGCCAAAAGAGCATCTTGACCCCAACTTTTGAGCATCTCCATAGATGAGCATGTTGAAATAACAAGTTGGGCTTACACATGGACGCATTTGCAGAAATAGACAGTCCATGGCAAAGGATTGCCAAAAAGGTTCAAGCAAAATATTAGTTCATCACCTACCCATGGTTCGCCCAAACCGGCCGGTTCACACCAGAATTCTGAATGACCGATACCGTTACAGGCCGGTATAGCGGTGTGACCCAGTACTCACATCAGAACCGGTCGGGTCTCGCCGAACCGGCCGATTCTCAGCATGAACCGGTCAAATCTCTTAAAGACTTGGCCGGTTCAGCTATGAATAAAATTTCACTAAATAAATGGGCCTAATCACCCCAAAATTAATTCACTTGGGCCTAATCATTCCCATTTGCAGAGAACAGGCCAAGTTTATTTTCTTAAGCCTACATGTGCTACTTTATATATACCTCATCCTTCATTCACTTTGTTAAACTTATCCGATGTGAGACAATTAATGTTCTCTGGCTACTAGGCTTTTATAGCTCATCTTTAAAATCCTATTTCTTCCACATTTCAATGTGGGAAAAAGAGAGAACTTATTTCCTACACTTTTCCAATTGTCTAAGACTTCTAACAAGTAACAAACACAAAAGTTGAGCATCTGCCACCAACTCTCAACTTCACTGTTGTTAATTTAGGGAGAGTTTTTATATTAATATATTTTGTTTTCATATCTACTTCCATGTATAACCTCATAGTTTTAAATAAAATAAATAATCATTCAATATGACAATACATTATGTGAGGATATGCACCTAACTGTTTGTATTTATACCTCAACCCAACTTTTGGCATCACAACTAAAAAATATATATATACCACTTTTTCACATTTCACCTTTATCCTATCTAATGAGTTTTTTTATTTAATTTAAATAGAGCTTTTTTTTTTTTTAATACAACAAACATACATTCTTAATTGCATTAACCAAATAATTATGCATATACACATTGTATATGATATATATGTTATGCTTCATTTTTATTTTTATTTTGTACAATTGATTTGTATTATATTTTTCTTAATTTTCCTTTTATTTTATCTTATATATGATATGAATGTTCATTTATTTTTGAATAAATCTATTATTGTTCATTAATTTACTATAAAATATAATTAGGATCGTAACTAAAAAATTATAAATAATTAATTACTTGTGTTAAATGGTCTTCAAAAATTCAATAAAATTCACCAAAAATTTATTGTTATCAGATTATGAGTCTACTTGGTATCATTAACCAATCACAGTATGTCACATGACATGACAGATGTGGCACACATTCCATGTCAACAACAGAGCTACTATTTATGGTATTAATACTGATGTTCAGCTAATCGAGTAGGCATGAGGACGTGCTATCAGCATTGTACCCAAATTTCTCCAAGCATATATGCATGCTCTTCAAATGGCTCAAATTACCGAAGTGTCACGACCAGACACAAAAAAAATATTCAAATCAAGTGAGATCATCCAAGACATTATACGAAGTCCAAATACTAGCAGTGATAACCTATATAAAGTAGCCAAAAAACACCACATTATATGAGCCATTGTTTGTCCACCTTTTTATTTTTTGATAAATAATAATTGATTAAAAAGCGTTCAAAAGGAGAACGCGTCCCTTAAACAAAGGCGGAACCGGGATCTAAGGACCCAAAGAATCCAAAAAATTAACATTACATCAAGATAGTATGCATGTAAGGAGAAAATCAATTGCAAGATAAAGAAGCAACCTTTGAATTCATAAGATTCTCGAGCTTACTGATCATTTCCCAATAGGCCAATGAAGAGCTTCGACCTAGAATGCAAGAAATTGATTAGTAAGATCGGCTTTTCCAAGCCAACGGGCTAACTAGATGAAATTAGAAGCGACTTCTAAATAGTTAGAATAATATAATTAAGACATTATTAAATCTTCCATACCTTTAGATTTTACAGGAGAAGCTGTCATCCCAAATATCCTAGGAACCTGGGAGTTAGTCTGCAAGAGACGATGATAGAATTCCTGCATATGCATTCCAATTATTCATATCATCAATTGGTCTAAGAAAAGCAGAATGAGAATAGCTCATAACATAAACGCATGTTGTACCACATTAATAAATGTTAAATAACCAACATATAAAGGAGAACGTTTCTTTCTTTTTTTTACATAGACATAAATATATTAATACAAGCCCTATTATCAAAAGGATTAGCAACATTACGCAGGCAAGATTCTATTGTTGGGACAAGCTTGCAATAACTTTAAGATTGGCATTAATACAAGCCCTATTATCAACAGGATTAGCAACATTATGCAGGCAAGATTCTATTGTTGGGACAGGCTTGCAATAACTTTAAGATTGGCACATTACATGTCTATGACAAACACAACATAAATATAACTCACCTTCATAATACAAGCATAGGGGTCACTACCTCTTGCATTGTGACATTCGTCAAATATAAGAACCTTTATCTCATCAAGTTTCAAAAAGCTATGCCTCAGGGCATCAAGTAAGATCTGGGGTGTCATTACAAGAACCTGAAACATAAGCCAAATGTTAGTTCATTATATGCACACCTTAAGTGATTAATAGAACTTCGAAACTAATAGTAAATATAAGCAGCGTAGTTTGAAATGGAAGGGAGTTGCAAATATTTGATGGTATCAAAACACATAAATAAAATCCTTTTTGTCAATATCACAGCAAATTTCCATTAATGTGTCCCAACTACCTTCCTTTTTTCCTTTTTTTTTTTTCTATTCTTTTTGTTTCCACAAAAGCTTACTAGAATTATGTCATTTCATTAGAAAATCTAAAAAACAAAAGGCACATACGATGTTTATCCTTCTTCTTTTTCTCTCCCTTTAAAAAATAAAGTAAGATTGAACAAAAACTATGCACACCTCGAATTCATCCTGTTGCTGCTTCCATGTAGCAGCATCCCAGTAGTCAACACCCATATCTCCCCAATACTTTCCAACTTTCAAGTCAGTGTGCATTTTCACAGCTTCAGCTTGCTAATAGGTACAGAACAAAAACAAAAAACAATGATGATATTAACAAAAAATCAAATGCAAATGCACAGCAATGGAAAATTTTCAGTGAAGGTGCTAAATCTGAAATATATAAATAATAAAAAGACCTATAAGAATCAAAAACATCTCAAGGATAAAACAAAATCGAAAGGGAAAAAAAAAACACTCTTGAAGCATAAAGAAAAAGTAAGAAAGATTCTTATTTCACGTACTTGAGTGACCAAAACAACTTTAGGGACCAAGAAAACAGCGAAACAACGGGACGGCTTTCGGATGGAGTAGGCATAGCTGCGTAGAAGCATGATCGCGATCAGGGTCTTGCCAGAACCAGTCTCCAGAAACACAATCGTGTTTTGCTTAATTGCTTTCTCCAGTGCTTCCAACTGATAACTGCCGAAACAGACACCAATAGAACAAATACAATGTTGAAAAACAAAACAAAAAAAACAACTGAAAACAACGGATTAAATGATCTAAATCCAGAGTACCTTCTAGCAAAAGGGAGTGGATCAACCGAGAGTTGTTGGGTTACATTGTTTTCCATTCCAGCGCGTTCCATTCTCGCTGGACAAACCAATTATCACAATTACATCAATTCAGAGAAAAATATATGTTTGATTCCATGAGAGACAAACACAGACATTGAACATTCCCAAAATAAAAAATATATATAAAAAAAAAAAAAAAAAAAAAAAAACACCTTTTGCACCGATTCAAATTTTCAAAACCAAATAAACCCCTTTGCAGACAGGGAGCGAAATTCAAGAAATATAAACATTCGAAAATGTATAACTCACTGAGTTGGGGTTCTGGGAAGGGATGAGTCAAGAAGTACCTTGAATCAACTGGTAGTGAGCTATTACAGATTCTTGCAGGTATCAGTAGCAAACGCGTCTCTCTCTCTCTCTGGTTGTTGAGAGTATATATAGACATATATAAGTATAGATATACAGTACCTGACTTCGTCGGAAAGGAACCCACTGTTGGATTTAATTGACAACGACTCTTTTCGAGAATCGCTCACACCGAGAATTAAAACACTCTTCTCTCTCTCTAGATTGAAATTAAGTTAGAGAGAGAGAATGTTAAAAAGTGTTTCTCTCTCTAAACGTATATGCGCTCTCTCTGTAAAACCTAAGAAAGTGAGAGCGAGATTCTTTCGTCACTTTTTCATGCCCCAATCGAGAGAGGAGGGAGACTGTGTAATCAATGACGTAAGGATTGAGTCAACTCACAATTGACTGTCACAATAAAATTAAGTAGAGTGTTCTAATTAAATCACATAGGGATATAAAACAGGCGGTTTTGGCCGGGTATTGAAAAAACTCATTAAAAAATGGATAATTATTTAACTATTGAAAAAATTCATTAAAGATTGTGAAACCCGTAATTTATACGAGCGTTCTTATATCTCTGTCGCCCTCTAAAATGGCTCTACTCTCTAAAATGGTTATAAAAGTGAGTAAATATAACAGAAGGTTTTTAAAACCAACTATATAAACTAATAAAATAAAAATAATTTAATAATTTACTTACCTAAGGACGAGGTCGAGTTCCCCCTTCTCGAACTCATGCGAATTTTCGTTAATAAAAAATCATCATTGTCCAAAAAAAGCTAAACGACCTCCCAAAATCACTATAAACGTGGCGGGTATTCGTCCTCACGGGCAAATTGCCATCCCTACTCACAACTCAATTAAAAACCATTTAACATTTTACTTTTATTAGTAATTACTATATATTTTCTAATAAAAGTATAAAAATAGTTATAATATTGTATATAAAGATAGTTATAAACTTATTATATTGTATACCTTGTTTAATTTTGTATTTTGTGAATTTTATTAAAAATGCATATTTTTTTAGTACATAAATTACTACTAGTGTGTTGATGAGATAGTTGACATAAAACAAATATGAAAAAGTAAAGATTATTTTATAAAGTATATTTATTGCGACAATTTTAATTTATAAACTGCAGTTTAGGTATGTATTAAATATATAGTGGTTAATTGTTTTGGACGTTTGTGGTTATTAAGTGAATCTTATCGTGAAATTGGTTAATGAGATCGAACATGTTTAATATGCAAAATAAAAAATAAAATAAAAAATTATACTGTACATTTATTGTCCAACGGCATTTTTAATTTATAAACAGCATTTTGGGTTTGTATTAAATATATATAGGTTAATTATTTTGATTAAGCGAATCTTATCATGAAAAAAAGTTAACGAGATTGAACATTTTTAATAGTTAATTTAATGTGAAAATCATGTTTTTTATTATATATTAAATTAATTCTTTATTATTAGTCAACATGTATAATAAAATTTCATAAATAATACATAATATGATAAATAAAACATAAATAAATAATTACATTATGGATTAAAAGATTTTAAACTATGTAATCTATACTAGATTATAAAAAGTATATATTAACAACATCTCATTTTATACTTTATTTAAAATGTTAAACTAATGATTATATTACTAATAATAAATACATATACACACACACACACATGTATATATATTAGCAATAGTGCACGTGATTAAATTTGAATTTATATAATATAGGGCGAATTGTAAAAAAATCTCCCTCGAATATTAACCAGTTGCGAAAAAACCCCCTTAAGAATATTTTTGACAAAAAAACTCTCCTCAACTATCCTTAAAGGGAGTGTTTTTAACTGATATCCGTTTAATTCATTGTTTGAGGAAATTTTTGGAACGAAACTACCCCTTTAACATATTATTCTTTAGACAATTTATTTATTTATTTTATTTCTCTCCGTCAAGCAAGGTATTTGAAGCAACAAAGAAAAATTCTCAAAAAAAAAAAAAAAAAAAAAAATTGAAAAGCCAATAAAATCATATTTAACCCATGTATAATTAATAAAATAAAATGGAGAGAGAAGATCCATCATGGCGTTGGAATAGAAGATGAAAAAATTAAGCAGCTCAAGAACTCCTTCAATGCACTTATCTTTAGCAGCCATCATAACTGTTAATTAATTTGCTATGTTTCCTTAGTTCAATTTGTTTCTTTTCCTTAATTGAATTATGTTACTGCAAAGTAAGTTCGACTAAAATTGACAATTAAAAAGTAACATAATTTATCTTTCAAATTTGATTTTTTTTAAAAAAAATATTTTACATACTTCGAGAATACGAAATACCCCAAAGTAACATTTTGAGACGAAATTATTGTAATTGATATACTTAAGTTTAAAACCTAAAAATATTAAAGTTTTTAATGTGAAAGGATATCATTGCCCTCTATTCAATTCACAATAATCTAATTATAAAGAATATTTAAGTATTTAGTTTGAGAGAAATGTATTTATCATCTCATCAGATATTATTTTGATACCACCACATACTACTTGAAAATTGTTTTGATCCCACAATTGGGTTTCTCGATCATCTTTGTATTTGAAGGAATGAGAAGGCTTACTTAATGCAGAGTGAGAAGATAGGAAAAATAAATAAATTGTCTGAAAATAATCTGTTAAGGGATACTTTCGTCCAAAAAATTATCTCAGACAACCACTTAAACGAACATTTGTTAAAATCACTCCCTTGGGATAGTTGAGGGGAATTTCTTGCCAAAAATATTCATAAGGAGAGGTTTTTTGCAATTCGCCCTATATTATACACATATATATGTAGGAGGGATATTAATCTTATACGATGCTTCTTTCTAATTACAAACTAAAATAACTGCTTAAAAAGTCACTTACGTGTCTTTTCAAATTCAATAACTCACATAAAACATTAGGTAATGCACTAAATTTATACGAGTAATAATTTATTTATCAGTTCACTTATATATTAATAATTAAAAATAAAATTAAAATAACCCATTGAAAATGCCACTTAGTGTAATAACTCACTTCACTACATATGCTTTGAACCTGAGTCCGTACGATTTTGTTCTGGCCTCGTATTATTTGGAAATAGTACTTACTTATAAGCCTTCACATTCACCTTACATGGGCAATATGAGATAATGCAACATGAAACTCACCTAGTGTCTCGCATACGTCTATATAGGTCACCACAATCATTTTCCCTAAGGGTCCAACTTCATCATTGGCCACACTTTCGGCTGGGCTTCAGCTCTGTAGCTCACCTAGTGTCTCGAATCCGTCTGCATAGGTAGCTACAATAACTTTTCCTAAGCGGTTTAACATCCTCATTTGCCACACTTCCAACTGGGCTCCAATTCCGATACAATTTGAAACAATCATTCCACCACATGGTATGATATTGAATTGTATCCCAAAAATTTCATACCATTTGTAGATAACACTAGCACATATAAAGCACTCACAATCACCTTACCCAGTTAATGTAGGATTGTGCAACCTATAACTCATGTTAGTCTCTCGCACACGCCTATATAAGTCGCCACAATAACTGTAACGGGTTGGGTGCTTCACAATACAACCCAAAAACTTAAGCTATTTGGTGGTGTTGACATCCAACCTCATATATACCCAATCGCTTTCGCGTTGGAAATCCAATGTCGTGCACTCTAACATTTTCCTCCATTTGAACTCGCAACGCCCTCATTGCGATCAGGCACCCTATCTATCTAACCTGGACTCAGACACCTCCCGGGTAGGCACACCCAAGCGAACGCTTAGTATGACACCAGATCAAGGACTGTGTTTGACTCATATAACAACTACAATGACTGGGTGCTTTACAGTCCAATCAAAAAAATCAAGTTATTAAATGATGCTAACACTTAACCCATATATATGCAGACACTTTCCCATCCAGATCTAATGTGCTTCACGGGTTTGGCTCTAATACCAACTATAAAGGCCCGGGTGATTCGCAGTTCGATTAAAAAACTTAAGTTATTATGTGATGTTAATATCCAAATTGATATTAATTATTTATTCGTTTATTTATATATTAATAATTACAAATAAAATCAAAATAACGTATTGAAAATGTTACTTGAAGTGCCTGTTCAAATTCAACAACTGAAATGAAAATATTAGGTATTGCTAAATAGATAATGACTTATTTACTAGCTCATTTATACATAAATAATAACATATGTATACAATTTTATAAGTAAATAAATACTATAGATTAATTATAAATAAAATCATAATTGATAAAATAAAAATTATAATCAGAAAAAAATGAGTGAATATTTATACAAAATAACCGACTTAAAAAGGACATACGAAAATATATATATATATATATAACCAACACAAAGGGGCAATTGAGGTGCCTTTCAAATTCAATAACTGAACTTGAAACATTAGTTACTACAATAATTAAATATGTAATAATTTATTTATCAACTTGTTAATGAAAATTATTTTAGGAATATTAACCATCTCCCATTAGATATGATATCAAATGTTGAGAATTAAATCCCCCTTCATTCAACCACAGAGAGACATATTCTTACACAATAATCAAATATGCATATATGGAGATACAGTTATATATTAATAAAGTATACAACATAATATTTTATATGATTCACCCTAATTACATGGTTACGCCCGTTGAAAGAAAAACATTTATTATTATGAATTAAGTAAAGAATGTACAAAGTACAATTATAGAGAGTACCAATTTACTCGGTTAATCACATACTCAATCACCATTCACCTTGAGGTGTGAGGCTCCTCCAATCTCAACTTGAAATTACGCACGTCCTCTCATTTACTCGCATCATACACCCTTTCGATTCATACTTCTTTTTTACCTTCGTCACTCACCTCTACCATATTTACAGAGTCTACCCAATTTATTGTTTGATAAGGCTTACAATTCATTGATGGTCACTACTTGCCTTACAATCAAATTTCTTAATTACAAAGAACAAATTACCCAAGTTATCTTCCGGAAGAAAAAAAAAACACCAAATTTTACAGATTTTAGGAAAATATTTTCTCACGTAAGAAAACAATTTTTGTACATATTAGGCAAATGTGATTGATCATACTTTTAGAATTCTCAAACAAGAAAGTGCGACTGATTAGACTTTTTAAAACATCATTATTGTTGGGCCTCTAAAATAACATTAAAAATAAATAGGAATAAAAACAAAATTAGCACAATCAATACAAACACTTTTAACGAAAGGCAAAAACTCTCTTTTTAT